TAGCTGGGTGTAGTGGCACACACCTGTAATCCCAGCTACTCAGGAGGCTGAGGAAGGAGAGTCGCTTGAACCCAGGAGGTGGAGGTTGCAGTGAGCCGGGATCGCACCACTGCACTCCAGCCTGGGTGACAGAGTGAGACTTCGTCTACAAAACAACAACAACAACAACAAAAACAAATTAGGGTGAAATGCATTTACAAGTTTACTGAAATAGATACAAACCCAAGCCATGCGGTTCCCATAACAATTCCCAACACATGTTTGCAAATTCAAGTAAGGGGGAAGGGAACCCACGTTTGTTGAGGTCCTGTTAACAGGCCAGGCATGGCGTTAGCCATTTCAATGCATTAATTCATTTAATCTCACAACAACCTTGTGAGGAAGATGTATTATTCTTTATTTTATTTATTTATTTATTTTGAGACAGAATCTTACTCTGTTGCCCAGGTTGGAATGCAGTAGCATGAGTCCAGCTCACTGCAACCTCCGCCTCCCAGGTTCAAGCGATTCTCCTGCCTCAGCCTCCCGAGTAGCTGGGAATACAGGCGCACGCCACCATGCCCAGCTGATTTTTTTTTTTTAGATGGAGTCTTGCTTTGTTGCCCAGGCTGGAGTGCAGTGATGCCATCTTGGCTCACTGCAACCTCTGCCTCCTGGGTTCAAGCAATTCTCCTGCCTCAGCCTCCCAAGTAGCTGGGATTACAGGTATGTGCCACCACACCTGGCTAATTTTTGTATTTTTAGTAGAGACGGGGTTTTACCATGTTGGACAGGCTGGTCTTGAACTCCCAAAGTGCTGAGATTACAGGCATGAGCCACCGTGCCTGGCCCATGTGATGCACATTCTTATAGGTAAATCTTGGCACATGTCAATGACTGTATTATGTTCTCAGGATGAATTCTCAGAAGTGGAGCTGCTTTGTCAAAGGGTCTACACAACTTCAAAGTTTTTGAGGGTATTTTCTGACCCAGTGAAGGACACCACTATGGTGCCCAGTTGTTCAAGTCAGAAGTATCAGGTAATGTTAAGTCCAAGAGAAGAAGGCTAATTGATGAAAGAATGGGTTGGGGTGAGTACCAGCGGGTATGCAGAGGAGAGAAGTTACCAGGCCCTGAAGATTGTCAGCCACTGGGGAGATACTATGAGGGTCTTTCCTGGAAACCTGAGGAATACTTTTGTCCCCTGCCTACCTGGTCCTGCCCAGGAGCCACAAGTGCTCCAGGTAGCAACCCTGGGTAACTCCTTTCCTGCTGTCCAAGCAAGCAAGATGCCAGTTCCCCAGGATCCAGCCAGCTGCAAATGACCCTGAGCCAACTCCCATAGCCTTGAGTGGGTCAGCTTTGCTTATGAAGCAGGACTCTGGCACCTCACCAGGGGGTCCAGCTTCCCTTCCCCCAGCCCCCAGCCTCCGGGCGGGTGGGGGGAAGCAACTGGGATAGGCTTGGGGAGGTGGGTGTCGGATCGGGGGTGTAGAGGATAGAGGAGCTGAGTGTCTCTGTCCTCAGGGAAATCTTGAGATGACTCACATGCCACTGGAGGGGAGAGAGAAGCTGGGGGATGAATGGATTGCAAACCAGAGGGAGGGGCCGAGCTTCCGTGCCTTGATTCGCCCGCGTCAGTTGCTTCAACAACATCTGCAGTGCGTGGGGTTGAGCGATCCCACCGGGGGGGCTGGGGGGGTAGGGCTTCCAGGCTGGCTGACGTTTGCTTCCCGCCCGCTGGGCCAGCCCGGAGCAGTTCATGAATGACTCACCTCATTGTCAGGCTGATTCACTGCTCCGCTGGGGACTTAGGTAGGGGGGCGGCCCCCTCGGTACGGCTCACACCCGCACACAGGCGCACATACATGCGCACACGCCCAGGCGGGGCTCCACTGGGGTCGGACACGAGGGATGGGATTTCTGTGGTAAGAGGCAGGGGCATGCACACCACCTAGTGTGTGAATAACCTTGAAGTTACAGTCTGTGGTATACCAGTGTTTATTCACATTTAAATTAATTAAAATTGGCCGGGCGCAGTGGCTCAAGCCTGTAATCCCAGCACTTTGGGAGGCCGAGACGGGCGGATCACGAGGTCAGGAGATCGA